TTGGATACTTTGATTAACTTTTATTCATCATCTGCTCCGCTGCTGTGCATCCAGCTGTTCTCCCAGTTTCTTTGACCATTGCTGCGTGACCGAGTGATCCTGCCGTACTGCTTCACCTGGTGGTCAGCCTTCTGGCGATCCTAACGTTCGTATGGATGCATTCAATAATTTCTCTATACTTTGAACATTGTAGCATTTTCCCCATACAAATTGTACATGTTACCCAGCGCTCCTGGCAAAGTGCCAAGCGGTCCCGCCTAGTGGGACGCTGTGAAATAGCTCTGGCGGAGATGTCAGAGCGCTTTCCGTGACCCGAACAACCACCAACCGAGTTGGTTTAAGTCTTTTTTTTTTGTTTGCTCACTTCTGGACCATGATGACCAATACTTTAGCGATTGTGAGGTAGTTGCTTGAACACTTTGATTGGCTGTTGTTCATCATCTTCTTCCCGTGCTGCTGTGCGTCCGGCTGTTTGTCCAGTTTTCTTCACTTACATCTATTTCTTCCTGTCACCTGTCTTGCAAATTAGACACATGACTATTCAAAACGTGACGGTTAGGAGGCTGTACTGATGATTCCCACTTCTACCCGCATGCACAGTTCGGTCTGTATTTACAGCTAAGGGATGAAACACAGACTACGTCATAAAATGTCTTCAAACACATGACATTCAAGTGAAATTCTTCTGTTCTTCTATTTCTTTGACCAGTGCTGCGTGACCTGGTGATTCTGTCGTGCTGCCTCACTTGGTGGTCAGTCTTCTGGCGATCCAAACGTTCGCGTTCAATAATTTATTCATACTTTGAAGATTGTGGCGTTTGTTCCGGGCGGTCTGTGCCCGTGTGATGTCATCGCTGAGTGCTTCTTCTGCGCGGAAACGTCCACCCTCCAGGGAGGTGGACACTCCTCTGGTGGACGTCGCTGGCGACGGCGGAGACGACGATGGTGCGGCGTTGTCAGTGCAGCCGTGTGGCTACAGTTGTTCGTCCGATCCGGAGCCCGCCACGCTGGACTCACATTACCGTTGGTTAGTTCTCTTTCCCATGTATTTTTTTGTGCCGTGTTTAAATTGCGGTAATTTTTCGCGCAGTACTGGATTTACGCCGTTGTTTTGTGTGCTGTATATTTGATGTTGAAATTTCGTCTGTTTTTACACTTTCCGCTTCACTTTTACCATTAGACACAAGCAAGTATACTGATAAGACTTCGTTACAAAAATTACTTTCTGCCCACGCCCAGTTAGGTTTCTTTACTTCAGTTTGTGTTTACAGCTAAGGGATGAAACACAGACAGACAGACTGCTAAACCCATGCCCAGTTAGGCTTTCTTACTCCGATTTGTGTTTACAGCTAAGGGATGAAACACAGACAGACAGACTGTTGCATCGCGTGAAATGTCTTCTTACACATGACACTTAAGTCCAGTCCCTCTATTCTACTATTTCTTACTCTAAAATAAGTTCGTGTAGGTCTTTTTCTTGCGCCATAATTCAATGGCAAATAGCGCTTTTCGCTTGCTGAGGACCGGAGATTCGACTCCGCCACTGAGGCATTCGATCCTTCAACGATTTGTTCATTTATTTCGATGATAATCTGATTATCGCATGATTGTAGCATGAAAGTAATATGAAGAACGTAGAAAAGAGGGCAGGGAAGGACGAACTATGTAATGCAAGAGGAAGAAATATTGCTGATACAGGAAAAATAAGTACGAGAGAGTTAAGATGTTTCGGTCCACGAAGTCATATATGTCTTAGCTCAACACCGCGACTGGACCTCGCAAATTGGTACTCATACAGAGTGAATAAGAGTGGATTTTTAACTCTTAGTGTAACTTATAATGTCTG